ACTTTATATATGGATAAGATGTAGTGACTCACATTTGTCACGAGAACATGACGGGTTTAATAAAAACAATTATTATTATAACCAACTGTACCAGTGTTTGTTTTAATGTGCTTTTGTTTGACTGTGCTAATGACAGCTATATTGTGCTTCCATTCTTATACTCACACTTTGATTGTGACTTCGCGCGAATTCGGTTACGTTCTGTAACCAAGCTTGTATCCTGGCACGATCTCGGTATCCTTTCGATGCCACGAGATCGCCAGCGAATATATCTCGATTTGGTCCATTAACTGCCTTCTGATATTTGGCTTCTCGGGGATTTTATGAATTTATTTGGTTACGTTCAACCTTCGCCTTCTGATTTATCCAGCACGTGTTTCTTGGTAGCGGTGTTCATAGTCAACCGCGACTCGACGCCACGCTACAAAGCTTTTTAATCGAGGACTGATTTTTGTATCCACCCATGAGTCTTATTTTAGACTTTTATTTCTTATCAGTTTTGTTATGCTTAGTTATTCCTCTTATTCTGCATTATGTCGTAAGCATTATTTATTTTATTTATTTAAACACATAAACACTGATACAAGTAGGCACCAAATAGATATGCGTCACATAAATCATTCCATTCATATGAGGGCTGGGATACTGCCCGGATGCCTAGACCGAAACAGGTGATTTTCTTAGGGAGCCACACATCGAGCCTTGGACCTAAAGGTCTGACCCACAAGGCAATGGAGCATCGTGAGGAGATGCAGTCCCATGATACCCGGTGACCACCGATTGGTTCATACGCCATTTGTTCCTTCAGGATACTGGAGCCCATATGGACCATTGATTTGGGATCTGGTTAAAGTGCCGGAGTTTCGCTTTCCGTCCTCTCAATTTCGTAAACAACACTCCCGCCACGAGAAAGCAGTGGGTAGGACTTCCCTGGCGGAGGCTGTATACGTGTGGCCGTGTGAGAGCATTTAGAGAGGGAGGGCAGGCGGACCTCACCCTCGGCTTTGGCAGGGCATTTGGGGGCGTACCTCACATTATGGCTAACAAAACGAAGCATATTTAGTTCATCATCTATAATTTCTTTATAAACTGAAAGAAATGGTAAGGTAGTTAAAATAAGTTCATTTATACCACAGAGGTCTCTGAACCCAAGATGCTTACTTATCTAGTAGAATCGTGTCTAAGTTATCTAATATAACTTATTCGAATAGGAAATATATAAAATGCTTATTCCATAATGTGAATTCATATCTTAAACCCACGTTGTTTATTGTGATGTAGACAAAGACTTTTTAAACCTATTAGCGGATATCAGAAGGTGTGTACTTAGATGATTTTTGGATTGCTTATGGAGATCACTGTGGTGTTTAAATGAACTAATGATTCCTCTGTACTTGTTGAATGCTTGATTTCGAATTCCAAATACAGTACACTCGTTCGCGCTTATCTAGTAATTCTTCATGAAACTGGGTTATTTCTGAGATTCTTAGTTCGTATTATAATTCAAATACTCCTAAATATCACAATCATCTATTGACAGAGTTTGCTCCGTCTTGTCCGACTGGACCTCAGCTACATGAAGAGTGCTACGAAGCTTAATCCTTAATTCGCTCGTCTTTTAATTGCTTATTATCGATTTTCCCGGTACAATAGACTTTCATATTCTGTCATACGCAAAGGATCTCAAGATTTGGAGGTTCCAGGTTAAACTAATATGTTACTTCATTGAATGCTTTAAATAGAACACAAAACAGAACCCACATAAGCTTCCTCTCAATACCGAGGTGTGTTGTTGTTGAACAGTACTGATAATTCATGTATTTCTGGATGGGGTCAAGTAAACGTCACTGAGCCCTAGAAAAATCATCAATCAGCCTAAACCATTTATACATTAAACCTTTAATCACTGACTGCTAGACGGTCTATGGAACATTGTCAACGCCAAGGATGACTAACGAGGATTAATCAATTGAATATAATGAACAAGCTCGTGAGGCAAAGATCACAATGTGTTTCTCCAGCTTATCCTAACTAAAGGTAGTATTATTATTATTGGCTTTACTCAATGTTATATTTTCGGTACTATATAAAATTGCCACTACAAATTATTTAAACAAGTTTCCTTTACAAAAGCGAGACAAACTGATAACTTAATACACGTGTACATAAATTCAGTAAATAACCTAACTGAAATTAAATTAAATGTTTTTGATAAGATAAGAATCAGTACAAATTTCAAATTAGAAATTCGTCTCGAACTACATGTCATTGATTAGGTCACCTCTAACAACTTGTTCATCACACAGCATATTTACTAGATAACGTATGGTAAAACTCATATATTTTTATTTATGCGGACAAATTCTAATGTATTGGCGACTCATTCTACCAAGAAATACACAAGGAGAAATGTGTGGATAAGCGTGATGGTTAGTATTTGAAAGATAACACTTGCTAAGATTTCGCAGGATTTTAAATTTTTATTCAGAACCATATTCATGATGCCCTCAAAAGATTCACGACACAGCATGCGAATTGCCTCCAGTACTTTTTGTGAAACAGCGAGATTTATTCTCAAAAGCTGGTACAGAATGATGGAGAATAGTAAAGAACAATAAGTGATTAGCGATGATTCACGCGTTGTGAAAGTAAACGTTGACTAATGTGAAAAGCATGCAACCTCTCTATGCAGTAAGTCAGAAGAAAAGACAAAGAGAGACCGGAGAAAAAAATTACACCCATATAAATGACTTTCTACACTTTTTATTGAAGAATTTTTAATAATACAGGCTCAATCGGATTCCAACAGGTTGTTTAAGTGCTGTTTACGTCTCAGACTAAAGTTAATGGTTATACATTTGGAAGGATTAAGCGTAAAACGGTTAAAAACAGGTTATCTTTTATTATGTAACTAAAACTCATTTGAAGATGTGAAGAGGTAAATATCGGAATACATAGATTGAGATTGCTCGCATTCCCAACTAAATTGTATGCTGTAGAAAATGGCAGCTCATTCAGAAAAGGATAGGGGAGAAACAGCTCCTTGTGACACATGTTCTTGAGTTAGCAGAGACGTTGATAACATAAACATAATTGTAATTCTTCAAGTGCTTTGTACGGTATCTTAAAATTTAACGGTTGATAGGGTTGTTTGAGAACTTAAACCGTTCAGAGGTAGATCTACATCAGTTCACATTTACAAATGTACCTACATCGTCGTCATATCTTTTCTCATTGCTTGATCTATCGTAAAATCTTGTAGTGATATTAAGCAATCTTCGTGTAGTTCATTTAAACACGATTCTTAAATTGTAATTGTACCACAATTTTGATAAATGTTTGAACTAAGTAGGAAGTGGACATTATCTTACTAATAGATGAAGTTAGCAATATAGGACTCGACAAGCGATTAGTGCCCATTCTTTTCAACTGACATTCCCAGCCACCACTTTGACTTTGGTTGTACTCTTTTGTACCTTGCAAAGCGATATGTCGTAAAATGTTTGTGTACGCTCTTGAATAGGTTATATAATTAACAGGCATAACATTATGTCGAAACAAACAAAAAGATAACTCGTTGACACATTTAGATTAAAGTGACAGATAGTCCATTCAAACAGGTGGCATGTTTGAACTTATAAGAGCGATCAACGATAGTTATTAACCTCGAGGTGTGACTTCTATGTAAGCAAAGAGGTCACATCACTCCCATCTTGCTCGAGTAGACCTCCATTATTGAAACGGACAACCTATCTTTGGTGATTTAAAATGCTGACGCCACACCCTTTCCCATGGAAAAGTATCTAAACATCAGTCCGTTTGATACTGTTTTTTCTATTGGCATCCCTTAAACAAGAAAGAACATACGTTCTTAAGATTTCTTTATAGAGCAATGTATAGTTCCAACCTGAAATCGCTTAAGACTATTTTCGCAACTCACGTAAACTTAACTGGTTAAAAAATCTTTCATCTTTCCCTCTTGCCTTAGAAAGTACATCACTGTAAATTATGTTCGAAGGAATGTAACCAAGGTGGTGTTCGAACTAAAGATAACATCTGTTTAGCTCACACGGTAGCTGTAAGTTTGATGTACCATAACGGTCACAATCACTTTCACTCTAACATATTACTTCCATATTTTAATATTATCTTGCAGCAAGGCGTACGTACATTAAGAACAGACAAGAACAATTTCAAAAAAGTCCACACACACCTATTCATAGAAATATCCAGTGAACTTCGAAAAATTTTACCGGAGTTCATATCGGCAGAGTTGTTTAAAACATTACGACAATTAATTCAGTATCGTACTTAGATGGGTTGTTACTGTATGAATTACTTTGGGATTACCTATGTTGTTAAAAGCCATTTTGCCTTCCAGTTTCAAAGTAAACACAATAACAACAACCATGCCTTTTATAATCAAGAGCGTTTCTTTCAACCCGACTGAAGATTCAATAGCTCTCTAGCTCTGTGACCTGAAGTTTGAAGTTCGGAGTGTAAACCACCTCCCTCTTAGACAAGCTATCTGACGCATGTCTCATGATTTACCATGGTTGTCACATCAGCAACTACTCCCTCTTCCTATTATTCACATCTTCGTTTCCCCTTTTATTCTTAAAATCCCGTCTCCTCATAGTGTCTGAATTACTGACTATTAAATTTATTTACCAGTGAAACAATTGTTTTCTCTTAACACTTAAATCACCACTTTATTATTTTTATATAGTAACCGACCAACCTCCTGCCTGGTAATGTGGTAGTTTTTGGTTTCACGAAACCTTACTGTCCTGAAACAAACGCACTCACTCAAATTACAAAATCTACAAATATCTACTTCATTGACTAGAATTAGTCAAGTTGATTGGCCAGACTACCACAAGTTGCCCATTATCAAGCACCTATAACTGCGACGAAAGAAAAAGAAGCAATTGCAAAGCAATCACTGGGTTAATACAAACTCGTGAGGAATATATTGGGTATTGGATACGTCCGCACTTACTTTGAATGATCAAGGTCACTGAAACCAGAAGAGGCAAGTTCTTCCCAATTAATCAATCGGTTTAAATTAATCGCTCGTGCTAACTTATTAATCAGATCACGATTTTTGCCTTTTTTATTCAGACACTTTTGGTGGTTCAGTGGGCTCCAACCTCTAAACTCACATTTTTTCAACTGTGTACGTTAGCTTAGAAGCTAACCGCTCGGTATTGCGAATGATGGACTAGCCGTTTCTGCTTCCCCCCAAAATGCGAGATATTGGTAAGAAAAAGTGATTATTATTTGACTGTAGTTCGAGAAGCGCGCTTTTTTTGCTTACAAGTTGCAAACTGGAGATGAATATTTCGAGACGTAAGACTCAGTTACAAATCTCGGGGTTAAATTGGAGCTGAAAACAACATAACGAGAACTTCGAGCTCCAAGGTCTCTGTTCAGTTTGCTCTTTCGACACTGACTAGGTTCAAGTCTGAATGTTTGAATATGTGGTGTACAGATGTTATTTTTACTGCCCGGTTGCACAATCCAAAGTATGTTGAACGAGTATAAACCCATTACATACATTGATGTATCGTACCTGAATCATCATATCAGGGCTCATAAGGATTCCGTCTTGACTTTTAAGAGAGTAAACACATTTTTTTTACCGCAAATATATCTTTGTGTATCCATTCTAAGTAATTTTATTTCCTACCTAGATGAGAACGTTGCTTTTGCCTCACTTTACAATAATCAATTCGGATTAATATTTGGACGTTCTGAGTGAGTTCGTTTCACTTTAAAAAACCTAAATATTTGTTTCCTCAATAAAAACATGTTACCTAAGCGCTATTCTGGACTTGTTAAAAACATGTCTACAGATTTAGGGTAAATACTAAATAGATCAGTCAAAACTACATTCTTGTTTTCTGTAGGCCATGCTCATCCTTAACTTAACTCTGTATAAATTTTAGGAAGATATTTAAAACATCTTAAGTGTCAAAAAAATAAATAAATTTTGAAAATATACCTTTTCTATTCGTTTTATACCTCGAACGGTTTGAAGTAATTAAATGGAGGATAATGTCATTATGCTTATCAAAATAGTTATTGGGAAACAGATTCAACAATTGACAGGTTACATAGTGCCTAATAAATGAACCAGCTGAATACTTCTATGACAAGATTTTTACAATGGTCATATAGACGAAAAAAGAATGAGAATATTTGTTAATAAGAAAACGTAAGTTCTGTTTTAAACTGCTCTAGTGTGACATTTTCAGTAGCCAAAGTATAGGGGTTGTACAAACTTATGAATATCCGTTCCGATACATTCACTAATAAGTAAAGAAAGGGTCTGTAAACAATGCGATATATTTGCTGAAATACGGTTGATAACTTGACGAGCCTAATTCATATGAAATTAGTGCCCGGTATCAATTAGCCTTGAATATCCTTCACTCAGCCAGAGTGGACGATTTGGAAAACTGAGTTGTGCGCCATATATGATTAACTTAAGAGTAGTTGGACAGATACACCCACGTAAGCAGTAAATTCAGGCCGTTTTTCCTCATCAACGGTTGTCATTATCAGAAAACTGCGAAAAAATCACTGCGTTTGGCTGCGGTAAACGTCTTTGTATATTCTTTCCTAACCCTCGTGTTGGTATCTTATGGTCATCGTTTCGGTATTATGGCTTCAAAAATAGTGAATAGTACTATTTTCTTTGCAGTTTTGTGCCATGTGTAACTTGAATGCGTACCTTTATGTGGATTCATACGTTTCTTTAGTGTTTCCTACGGATGACCATAGAATGAAAAAGTGGGAATTATGGAAACGGCTCGATTCATTATAAAAAAGATTGATCATTTATCTAAAACAATATAGTCGATTTGTCCACCTTCCTCACATCAGCCATTGTCTGTTAGTCTTGTTACTCATAACTGCCGTTCTGATCTTCTAGTCTTAAGCCCTCAATATATCACTTCAATCATTCGTATGTTTATCATGGCTTTCTGAATTTCACTATAAGTAGTAGAGGACAAACAGGTTGACAGTAGGCCAATTAATTCCATCTGTTTTGTTCCTTCTCATAATGTCTTTTACTATGAGGTCATCATACTCATATCTTTCTCGATATTTGAACCCTTCTTCTGCTTTTCCAATTAAGTATTCGCGAATTTATATTTCCAGCATATGTTTGTTTTATCCGTTTCAGTAGCCACAGCCACCACTACTATTTCTTGTTATTTTTGAAGAAGCTCCTGATAGCATTAAAAGTATGGTGTTCCTCGGATTCTTACTATACATTTTAAAGCACTGACTGCTTCTGACTAGTTTAGATTCAAATAACAGATTAAATGCAAGTAACTTATCATATCACCTGTGCACAAAGTTATTGACCAGTAGTCTAACTCCTACAAGATAAAATGTGATAGTTTTTATTGTTTATTTATTTATACACCTAAACATTGGTACAAGAAGGCACCAAATTTATTCCTGTTCCTCTTATTATGAGCTTTATTTTGACCTATGAACTGTTATTATACCATTTACCATTCTTGAGTTATGCCCTGTCTATCGATCACTACCCCCCCCCACATTCACAGCCACATTTGGCTAAATCTTGTAAAAATGTTGTTTCCTATTTTATGTTACGATGTGGTCTGTTTGGTTGCTATATAAACCCAGTATGTTTGAAATACATGATTCATATCACAGAGTCTGAGATTGGCGTTCTAGACTTAACAGGCAGGGCTAGGCGAGAAGCAGGATCGCTAAGGACTCTAGACTGCTCGCATAGGTTTTATGCGTCATTGGTCCGGTCGATAATTCACTGTTCCCTAATTGGCGGTATCTTTACGTCATACATTGATGGGGGCACAAACCCACAAGTTATAATAGTAGCAATATCTTTTTAGAAAAAATAAAATGTATAGCCTAAATAGAATTATGTTGCTAGAGGAAAATAATTCTTCATGGAAGGGTAACAGACTCGTGTTCATAATGCGTACTAGTAAAGTTGGATTAGGAATATGAAGACCCTATTGTTAACCAAGGTGAATTACGGGATTGGATTTATCCGTTTTTTACATGTCAGGTTTCCCTTAGTTCATACGAAATACTACCACTATATTGATTATGTTTAATGGTACTCATTTGGGCATATTAATTGGGGCCTGACTGAAAAAAACATGTTCATCCTCAATATGTCATCAATTTTCGATTAATTGGGAAAGAATCACAATTTATAGACCTAGTGATGTCTTTCTAACCATGCCGGTACGTGTTCTTGAGTTTGCAAGAAAAAAGCTCTTTGATTGCTGTTTCTATCGGAGCATTTAGATTGTTAAACACAAAGATCAGCTGCTCATTGATATCTTATACTTCGTTTGTTGTATCAGTATCAAGTTAGTTGAGAAGGCAAATATTGATGCATAATAGTATGAATTCATTTTGAGGTTTCTCGTCAGATGCCCACAACCAAATATATATTAGAACTCAACATTGAGGTAAGAAATAGTGTGAAACACTTGACATAATTGAATGTAAATAAGTGGAATGACAAAGGTTATCAATAACAACTAAATATATGTACAAGAACAGGTCAGAGGTTATTTGGTGTTAGAATCAAGCAAACATTAAAGATGGGTGGTGTAATAGTTGAGTGGAGTTCAGAGACAGATAAGATAAATTGTGATAATTTTAGAGGTAACGAAGGATGCATGAAATAAAAAACGGATAAGATGGGTTGCGCAATAATTTGATAGAATTTGAAGAGTTCACATAATTTAAGAGGATCAAGTGAGCAGAAATGTCTGAATGGAAGGGGTGGTTTAAGAATTCTGTAATGGGAGAGTAATATAACACAAACTAAATATTTTAGGAAATAAATACAATAAAACTGATAAGCAAAAAACAAAAATTTGGATTACCAGGGTAATAATAAGTTTATTACTGTCTCTTTTTGAATACATAAATCCGATTTAAGTTTTTTTATCGCAATCGCTTCAGCAAAACGAAGAGCAGCCGTACTTCTTTGTCTGCTAATAATTTTAAAAGTATGCGGAATGTCGATGGTGTGCCTGGTGTCAAGTAAATGTTGAACTATTGCACTATTGAGAGCCCTAGTCTCTCGCAGCCTCAGTTTCTTTAGAACATGCTCAGAAATGCGAAGATGTACTCTTCTCTCAGTTCTTCCAATGCATACATCAAATGTTTCAAACTATTTCTTACTTCAATGTTAAATTCTGATACATATTTGGTTGTAAGCAGCTGAAGAGAAACCTCGAAATAAAATGGATTCATACTATTCTACATCAATATTTGTTCTGGCTTTATTTAAATTCACGAAAAAAACTAATTGCATGAAATTTTAGTGTTCCATTTTTGTTGAATTCCTTGTCTTGTGTCGTTGAAAAGTGTAGAAACCCAAACTGACTCTATTCCATGTAGCGTTTCATTTTTTTGCTTGTGTAATAGTGTGAATAAATATAAATGTAACAAAATTTATGAAGCTGAGGTGTATTCACTGAGATTACCTGCCATAAAGATAGAGTTGCTAAGGCATTCATTTAGATGGCTTTGTAAATTTAATCAGTTTGGAGACTTAATTATAAGCAGAATCCCATTGGTTCACTGAAAGATACACCCAAAACTGTTCAATGGTAGTTCTCCACTTCAACGCCCCTTACGTCAAACATAGTATACCACTAATCTTTATGTACTGTTCAGTTGAAGAAAGTAAGAACTTGATGACTGCAACAGCAGGTTGCTTTCAAATTTATCTGGTTATTTTTAGTCATTTTGAAATCAAAGCAGTTTTCAAACAGTATTTTGTTGTCTGTGGCATTCATTGATATTTGTAGTGTCAGTATGTTAGTATACCCGCATAATTTTAAATAAAGTAACTATTTTTTGTACTCTCTGCTAGAAGTATTAATTTGGCAGCTTCTACCTCTGTGATTGAAGGACTTCCTGATGAACAGAGGACATCTCCAGTTCGACGCACATTTCTGCTTGCTGTTCTTTTCGACATTATTCTAAGTTTTATTCTGTGGATTATATATACTAAAGTAAGAACTAGCTAAACTTTCGTCATTATTTGTGATTCAATTAAAAGTTTCAAAAAGTTTCCTTGTTCAGCAGTCATTTCATTCGTCTCCCCCCTCATTAATATAAAGGTCGAAAAACTGCTAGACCATCTGTTTCTACTTAAAAATAGCAATGTTTAGCCACTTATGTCAAATTGAAAAAAGCCTCTGTAGTGTTAGTGCATAGTTTTGTTGTAAGATTATGTCCGGTTCACTGTACTCCGCCGAGTATGTAACCTTTCATCGAAATCACATGCCGCAGTTTCAAAGATCTCACAAACAGTTAAAAGTAATGTAAAGTACGACAACATTCAATTCTGTTGTTTGACTGTTATACATAACGTTTATTGTTCAGATACATAAAAAATTACTAGTGTTTGATTATCTCTTGATTAAAAATTTTGATCTCATCTCATAAAATCGTTAGGTAAACATTACCAATGTAGTCTATTGTAAAGAGTAGGGTTACTAAGCCACTTTTCAGATATTGGTTTGTCAGTACTAACTGAAACGAGAAAAAAATGCAACGATTCGTAGTAGTTAGATAGAAATGTAAGCACAAGCCATGAGATATTGGTTAGTCTGAAGCATATAGGAATGTGTCAGAAATCACTGTTTTATCATTAAGTAGACGAAATTAGTTACATGTTAGTTGCAAAATGATTATATGATATGTTGGTCACTGCTTTCACACTATTTCTCTCGGTTGTATCTATTTGAAGTTAAATCATCTGTATTTGTAATTGTTTTTAACGTTTCATTTGTAGTCATTTTAAGTTTTGTTCCAATATTTTAGTAAGGTGATCTAAATTATTCATTTCATGTTTACTGATAAACCAAAAATTATTATAATATTTCAGTTATTGTTGATTGATGAATCAATCTTTTAGCCAATCATCATTTTAATTCCTTTTCATTACTGTATTGGTTTCAGCAAACGTATCCTCTCAGTATTGGTGATGCAATGTTGGAAGAAATAAAAAATTATGATTTCTCTAAATCACTTTTCGATACAGTTGTGAGTATTTTCTACTAGGATTTAACTTTATCTATGAACAGTATTTTAAATTTCAAGCTTCATTCTATGTTTATGTCTACTAACCGCTTTTTTATCTAGCCCGATTTACTGTAAACAGGTTGTGTACTGTTAGCTAAGAGCTAGAAGTTGGTTTTTAATGGAAACTGAGGTAAGCGGAGCATGTATTACCTATATTTACCTATCTCGAGCTTTCTAGTGCTAATTGAAATGAGACGTTTTTGTGAGGGAAAGTTTTACGTCATTCTATCCATTTACTGAATTGAGATTGGAATTTATTGTCAGTTATGGATTAGTAAATAAAAACTTAAACCACCGATCATTTCTGTAGTAGATTCACAGGTAGGTGTTTTAGTTGTTTATGAAACATAGGAAGATTAGTTTCTTCACAGCGTGTTGCCGTCAATTACAGTAATATGAGTTCATTTGTTCTTCATGCTGATGCTATTAATCGACACACTATTTAGTATTCGACTGTTTCTGTTATTAATTTTTATTCATCAATTGCATTCCTCCTAATTTGATATTATTATTCTTATCAATATTATTATTACTGTTATTGATGTTCTGTTTTTGGTTTCATTTTGTGTTGTTTTGGATGCCACTGAATCAAGTTAACAAACATTTCGTCCCATGCCTCGCTGTTTTGTCTGGTGATTTTATCTTGGTTCTCAAGTACTTCACTGAAATGTAGGATTCTCAATATATATATATATATATATATATATATATATATATATATATATATATATATATATATATATATATATATATCCACTTGTTTATTCAAAGAATAAATTCTTCTACTTTCATTAAAGATTAATTGCAAAACTGCAAAATCCAAAGTTATAAGATTTTTCAGAAATTACATACTCGTATTATTAAACATACAGATTATTTGTGACTTTGTTAATATTAAGTAACTATAAATTACTTTTACTGGTTAAAAAATTTACCTTCTAGCTTGAATTGTTTTTTTTTGTTATTGGTTGTCTTGACAATTCATTGCTTTGAAATTATTCTATTCATTTTGATGATTGGGTTAAATGTCCCCACTTTTGCCCAGTTAAAATCCTAGTTATAACCGTCTGAATTCATTATTTATTTCCGATATAAGGAATGAATTCTCTTTGCACTAGCTACCACTAACACCGAACTAAGACAAAGTCCTTTTCATCTAGCCTCAACTAGTCCACAAGTAAAGTCCACTAGTGACGAGGATTTGTAGATCGTCCACAGGTTGTCTTTACACAGTCATTGTATATAAATGTTTTTCCATGTCTTTGAAAGCACTGTAATAAAACACAGCATTTAAAGGTCAGCAAAGCAGTAATATCAAAGCGTCTTTAACTCTGATAAAAGGAATACACTGTATTAGGAGTAGTGTCTATTCGGTTTGTTGACTTGTACTGATTAGCCGAAGACTAGTCAGTCAGCATTTCCAGATTTCAGCTTGGATTTTCTATCAATCTGATTATAGTCTTGCTCGATTGAAGTAAATGATTCTTCAGTGCGGGCAATCGTTTCTTCTGACTTATATGTTAAAATGTGAAATATCACTGGTTCAATCCTTAAGGAAATGTCACATGAAAATCACTTTTAGACTGGTACCTATAAAAATTTATCACAGTGAGTGTTGATTTATTAATGTATTGTTAGGTTAGACACACAAATAATCTGTCTACATCATGGTAGCATAACGTGTAAAATATTTCATTTTATAAATCCACCAACACTTAATAGTTGAATTCAGAAATATTGGCTTTATGAAATTAGATCTTACTAACTAAAAAGATTTATTATTATTATAGACTACAAATGGTATCCTTCCATTACTATACTAATAATTAGTACTTGTTGGGTGACAATTATTAAATGTCTTTAGAAGATGACTCAAGTCATATCTCAATTTCAACATTTTATCTTATCATGCTGAGCCATCTTTTCCCAATGATGTTTTCCCTATATATCTTTTGATGAATACTTAAGCCATTAACAATCAAACGATTATTAAACTTTCCTTGTTTAAAAGTTTTTTTTAATACCTTTGTTTATTTAACTTCATTGTCATCATGTCTAACAGTTTATTATCAGTATTATTATCATCCTGTAAAATAAGTATATGTATTTGCGATTGTACAGCCTTGAAAGTGAATTCGCCGAAAAGAGAACTCTTCACTGAACTAGTCTTTCTTATTTAAAATCAGTTAAGTCGTAATGTACTTAATAACAATGTTGATCTAAACAGAGATGGATGGTGGCTAGCAGTGTAGTCCAGGACGCGCGTTTTGTCCTATTTGAGACTCGTCAGCGGAATGTTACTGCAACCCAGAGTTGTTGTTCACTCCGGGACTCGATATCTTTAAGTAATATTTCCTATTTGTTGTAATAATATTGTGAGTATATATAAAACTTAAGGTAATACCAAACGTTTTAATCATTATAACCGGCAAATAAAAAAACTGTTAAATGTTACTTAAATTATTACTGACATTATTTTTTGTAACGACTCTATCGGAGTCATCTATTTTATCATTTCTCCTGAATGAACTTTAAACATTTGTATTTCTTTCCTTTTTATGATCAATTTTTTAAGTATATTTAATCATGCATAATTTGACTAACCTGTTTGATTTAAATTCTGCAAATCAGTGGGGAATGACATATATAATCAATGATTTCATAAGCGTTTCACCTTTCAAACATCATAAAGTCTGGTGTTTAGTTAATTCTATCCACATGTCGATTTATCTCGTGCATATGACTCAAATTATGTGTAAAATTGGTTTGCTTCATTTCAAAAGTATAATAAATGCCTTGTGTTTTAGCATGCCTGTTTCATGCCATAACCATTGTAATTGTAGGTGTCGAAATTTGAATCAACTAAAAACTGTTAAGGATATTTGTATTTTGTTTAATATACAAATTTGTCTGTAAGACAATACTGAAAACAATAGAAGAGTGATATGAGTTTCAGTAATTTACTGAAGTTAATGGTGTTAAAGTGAATCATGTAATTTAGTTTTATTAAAAAGAGAACCTATATTTAGAGCTATTTAAAGGATTAATGCCTAAACCATCTATTGTTTTGAGACTTGAACGGCTCTCATAAATTTTAGAAGAACAATCATCTCTTATAATTTTTGTACTGTAAATGGTTGAGTATGAAATTCTAGTCGAAAAATTTATGGTCGTTAATGACAGTGTTCTGTAACTTTTAAAGTGTTTACTAAGATATGCAAATTAAATAGTGAATAATGGTCTATCTCTTGATTACTTCATCCCCTTTCTATACTTGATTTGGAAAAAGGATAGATCAAGCCAAGATTGAAAGTTGATAACTTTATAATAAACTAATCTGACTGTCGACCTTATGTCTCAGATTCCAACATTACTTTGAGTAAATCCGTTCACCTACAAATTGTAGAGGTATTTACTAAATTAAGCATCTTGAGAATTCTCTCTTAGGTTTTTAGAGTTTAAAAATATTTCTGTGCAATGGTGCTAATAAATGTAAACTAGTTCCAATACCTGTATTCAATTAGACGTAAAGGACCTAGTTTTAAACAGAACATTCAGTAGAAGTTCTAAGTTTGCGTACAGCATAATCAAAGTTTGAACTTTCTTCGTACTCGTATACTCAAGTATTCATGTCCACTTTAAATCTACTTAGTGGAAGTGGTAGAACTGCATGCGTTTATGAAGAATTATTGATTATCCAAAATAAATATGCCCGACTACTATTTGCTGTTGAGTCTTGGGATATTAGCTCAAGGTTTATGCTCCCAGTTGGAATATGTGCCTCCTATGCGAATCACTTCGATATAGCCATTTTGTCACATGTTATTTTAGGAGAGATAAATTATGATTAGTAGTGGGATCCAAGTCTCGTGCTTTGCCCTACTTTGAGACCCGTCAGTTAAATGTTCCTGGCTCCTAGTATCAATATTCACACCGGCACTCGAACTCAGTACCTTTTATTTCAAGCGTTATGATCGGAGCCACTGAATCAAGGTATTCGCCAGCTTGTGCAACAGGTACATTCAGCTGACTAGTTCCAGAGAGAATAAAACGCATATCCTGTATTCCACTACTAACCACAATTCATCTGTTTTAAACGATAAATTATTATCTTTGTATATATTTTTATTAATATTTTGATTGTTTATGTAGACTGCATAGTTCGTAAGTATTTTTGTTCATTTTATAAAAATTACCCCACCATCACAATGTCGTTTGGTTATGTTTTCGCTCATTATTCAATTTAGATGTTATCAGCTTTCCGGTTTATTCTTATGGAAATAACTTATGGCGTAGTTCAAAGTCGCACTCCGTGGTGGTCCGCTGTAAGTTTTCTGTTTTCACCTATACATAGATCTACAAATAGATATTTTAATTATTGATAACAAAACGACTGAGATGCATTATTTTACAAACGTATGAGCCATTAAAAAGGTTGAAACATTTTTTGTGAAGAACTGAGGATAAACTATTTAATGACAGTAAATATAAGGATGCTAATTGATGATGCAGTTCATATAATTATAATAACACAGGCACCGTTAATTTTATCTCGAAGAATGTACAACTTTTCGTATACAACTGGATCATCACTGGCTTATTTTTTATAGCCACGAATAATAAAGTTCCATACAACTAAGTTGCATGATCTCTAAGACGCCATTAACTAAGTCGTAATAAAATAACGGATGTTAATTAAACATAAACATCCTTTAATTCCACGGTACACTATAACAACTTGTCCGGTTCCTCATGTTTGGTATTTATTCCTAAAGATGGCGAATATTTCTCATTACAGGGAGCCTCTGGGACGACACACCGAACTATGTCAAGGGTGACGACATCAGTTATTGAAAATGATCATTAAGGTAGGACTAAATACCTCTTACAGTTATGCCACACAATCTGAGTAATCTTTCGAAGACAATTGTGATTTAATATAGATAGTTACCGAACGTCATCGGCTTACAAAGACAAGATTTTAGAAGTATTGAACAAACTGCTCACATCGATATATTATACTCTTGGTACTCCATAAACAGATTACCTTCAGTCAGTCAGTCAGCTACAACGTAGGACCAGGCATATATATGCATCGGTCCAAGTTGCCATACCTCATTAACACAACAAGATGAACACCGGATTCATGAAAGTAGTTAATTCAGAGGTGGTAATATATAAAAGAAAGATTGTATATAAGAACATAGTACGGGAAGAAAGAATTAGTTCGTGCAAAGAAAGATATAAAGCGATTTTAATCTCATAGTTTAAGGAAAGACAGAGAGTGTATACACCGACGCTATTGTGATCGATTCTGGGCCATGTCACCAAGAGTCTCCAACCATTGGTTACGATAGTCACGCGGACCCCAAACAAGTAGTCTGCATCTACCAACATGGCCCAGACTAGAAGTTAGTGACTTCAAGGACTGATGCCGCGTTTTGGTATGCCCGCCCCTAACTTTCTTCCAACCATCTCTAACACCAGTCAGCATTGCACGTCCTGGTAATCGGTGTTCAGGCACACGTAACACGTGGCCCAACCATCTCAGTCGATGAAGATTCACAACCTCATCAACTGATTTACCATCATTCCCTAATACCATGCGTCTAACCTCATTATTACTTACCCGGTGATCCCAGCAGACGCCAGCAATATTTCTAAGGCATCTGTGGTCAAATACTAGTAGCTTACGAGTGTCTTCTACTCTTAAAGACCATGTTTCGCTGCCGTAAAGTAAAACAGAACGGACTGCTGCGCAGTATACTCGTCCTTTTATTGATAGACGGATATCTCGCCTTCGCCATAGGTGACGTAAGTTGGCAAAAGCCAAACGAGCTTTTCGAATCCGTGCTGAGATTTCGTCAGACACCAACCCATTAGGGCTGATCAGACTCCCAAGATTAGTGAAGTTGTCAACGCGTTCAACTACTTCATTCCCTATCCTTAGTTCAGGTATTGACGCAGACCGTCCTGAAGCAACAACTTGCATTTAGAGGGAGAGAAGCGCATTCCAAACATTCTGGCATTGTTGCTTAGTGCTACCAAAAGACTCTTCATTGTATCAGCGTCTTCACCAAACAGGACTATGTCATCTGTCTGCGTATTCTAAATCGGTAAGTAGACCTCCTGGAAGGAGATCAATACCCGAGAATTCAGTAGACGGGAATGTTATTTCCATCAGTAGGCCTATGATGAAGTTCAACAAAAATGGGGAAAGTGGACAGGCTTGATGGACACCACTTGAGGTTGCAAAAGCAGATGACAGTTCGCCATAAGCTCTGACTCGACTAGTAGTGTTCGAGTAAAGAGCCTTCACAAGGTTTATGTACTTCTGAGGTACGCCTTTCAATGACAGACACTGCCACAGAATCTCGCGGTCTACGGAGTCAAATGCTGACGCTAAGTCAAGAAAGACCACCACGTTCGGACGCCGATAATTATGCCTATGTTCTAGAACCTGACGAATGGTGAATATGTGGTCGATGCAGCCACGACCATGATTACCTTCACAATAACTCCGAGGGTGCTCTAGTTTTTCATCATTTCCAACTACTCACCATAAAGTATAAATGTAGACATGATCTTAATTAAAATGGTTTTGAATCTTTCTGAAGCTTCAAAAACACGTTAACTATTATCTGATCTACCATGGACCAGAATTTTGTAATCAATATTTACACTAAAATACTTCATCAGTTATTACTTATTCTTAAACTAATATATTGATTTATTCATATTAATTGTTAAATTTCTCATTCTCTTGATCTTAGATTTCTACTGGTTTAACAAGTTTAATTCTGGTTGTTAAATGTTTCATTTTTAATGTAAGTACTTATGTTCTCATTATTTCTCATAAATAAACTTTTATTATTCAATCACATTTTATTCTCTTGTTATTTATGTGTTTATTTGTATCAATAAATTTAGTTGCTAAATTTTACCATTGATAAAGATTAAATGATTGGAATCAACTTTTGATCATTTGAATCTTATCAATCACATTCATGTAAACATACTTCATTTCAATGGTTAAAAACGACTTCTCAATTATTATCGATAACAAGATGAGTTTTTATATTGAAGAAGACGACAAGAATGTATTTTTTAACAATAGACTGTACGATATTGAGTTAGTATATTGAAACTGGTTGAAAATGCAGTTTATTTCAAGTCACTAAATTTTTAAATGAGAAATTATACAAGATTAGAAATGGAGAAAACCTAAATGGAAATAAAATTGTATTTGAAGCGGTTTATTGTGGATATTATAGTAATTTTAATAGTTGAGATCATGAGTTAATTTAAGCTAGACCACAATGGAAAACCTAGAATCACTGGACGACCGTTTTGTTTTATTGTAGGACTCCTCAGCAGTACGCATCCACGATACCGCTTCGCAAGATTCGAACCCAGAACCTATTGGTCTCGCTCGCGGACGCTTACCCTCTAGAAGCAGTAACCAGTGGAGTTCAACCGGGTCTGTTGTGAGATAGTAACTCACTGAAGATAATGGTGCATGTGTTGCTCAATTTCGTGGATTAGTTGAAGTTAGATATTAACACTATTGCGTGTCGATTCAGTGGTTTAGAAGTTAAGCGTTCACGCGCGAAATTGAAGACCCGGGGTTCGAATCCCTCGGGCGGTATCGTAGATGTGCATTACTGAGGAGTCCCACATTGGGACGAAATGGCCGTCTGGTGCTTCCAGGTTTTCCATGATGGTCTAGCTTCAATTGGTTCATGAGCTCAACTATTAAATTTGTATTTGGTATTTTATATGCAGAGAATCGAGAGCTAGCTAGTTAAATGTTAACAGTTTAGGAAACAAATGATGTAAACCTTTGAATCATATAAAATAACTGTAACTTCAAGGAAATTCATATTTAGTACTATGGTACGAATTTCAGCTTAGTCATTTTCAAGTCTTTAGTGTGTATGTGTTTATAAAAACTTCAAATAGTAAGTAGACCAAGTCATGCCATAAGCTGCTTAATTTATTGATCATTAGAAAAAGCATGCATATATTGTTTGATGAGAGATATCTTCCAATTAATAATAGCACATGATGAAACTAATAAATGATTGTGAGAAGTATATATAATTGCTTGCAACACTGAACTAAAACATTTTATATGCTTTTCTCAAACCTCATTTGTAAAAACTACATCTCAACACATAAAGAGTAAACGTCATAGGATTAAACAAGTTCATTTCATCCCATAACGTTTGTTTTTCCTACTTCACAAAAGTTAGTCAAATAAACTAATTTTAATCAGTCTGATGGAAGGTTTGTTTTTAATGTAACTCATATGTGATATGTTCTTCATTCGTCCAATTAGTTACTGATGTATAGTTCCTATACTCAAACCTTACCTGATGTGTAATTGAATATACTGAACTAGAGAGCTGTATATTCAAGCCAAACTTTTACAGGTATGTAAATAACTTCAACCAATAGTAGACTTTTTTTAGCATTTCTCACTTATCGTCAGGCCTTGAACTAGCATCTGTTCACAAACATGTGGTATGTCTGGGATCGACCATTGTATCAGTTTACCAAGTACAACTTCATGTACTCACTTCTCAGCCACATTGTTTGTGTAAAAGCCATTGATATTACTCGTATGTTTGGACTGAAGTAAGAGGAGCGAGTTCCTAATTCCTACAACTTATCGTTTATAAGTTAATTACTTTTTTATCATGCACTTTAAATTTATCGCTAGCATCTTTACATCACTCTAGAAATGATCAACTTTAATATTTTATTTGAATTAATATGTTATGAATAATTTGTAAGACTACGAAAAGTAAATAAGCTAATGAATTCTTTCTTTCATAAAATTAACCTAATGATCATGGGTTATCTGGTTTTAAAAGCTGGTTCATATTCTTGCTTACAGTCAAGAAAGTTTTAGAAGTGCAAGTTACCGATGTAAACTATATAATACATCTCATTATCCGGTCCGTGGCTTTAACCCTGTCATTATCTAATTTTATCAGTGTTTCAAGCTCAAATGATAAAGATATGTTAAAAAGAACTCATTTAAGAACTTAGATTTATTTAACTGTCTATCTTAATTTATATCGAGAAGTATTATAGATTTAAATTTCAGATTGAAAATTTTCAAACGATACAACAAACATTAAACAATTTCAACTTCAGTAAATAATATTGAAGAGGAAAAATTCACACATTTCATTATACTGTCCTCCACACAAAGTCATTCGTTAGTAAGCATACTATAGCGTGTATGCATGAATTGAAGGCATCATATTCTACACATGTTCTGTCGAATGTGTTCAATGAAGTAGCTGTTGCGTGTAAAATGTAGCTCTAAAGGTAATCCCGGTTTTTTAAGTTATTAAGTAATTGTGTTTACCTTCATATTCAAGGGGGATTGAAATAAGTTGAAAAGTTTTTTAGATGTTAACATGTTAGCTACCTATGAACACTTAATATTAAATATCTTACCAAATAAATCTGTTGTTCACACTTTTTCCCTTCTTTTTCAATCCCAGTTTCATCAAAGGACTCCAGATAATCAAGGTCTAGCGTATGCTGTTTTAATCGCATCATTAATCATTTCATGGATTGAAACCACCTTCTTAATTTATCGCGTCATTCCTCAAGAAAAAGCTGCCAATCGTGGTACGTCGTAGCATAGTTGTGTCATGTATTGGACTTTGATATCGGAAATTACCATTACAGTGTGTAGAACGTACATTCTATTTTCACCTATGTGTGGCGAATTTCATCAAAGTACCATTGCACCAACTAATGGTAAAATAACATTTTTGTGGATAGTAGAATGTCTGGAATTTAAGCAACTGAAGGGCTGTTCCACATTCGCACCTGAAGTGGCATTCCGTGACATATCTTGAGACGTAGACTCCTATATGAGCTACCAGTCCATTCCAGTTCTACCTTTTCAGATGTCACTGAGAGGGGGTTGAAACCAGTTATTTTATATACAAACAATAACCTCGATAAGCTAGAAACTAATAATCATATTAAATAAAAAGAATGCTTACTTATACTGATTCCCTGAAATATTTCTGACATTTTTAAGATACTCTTTATATAAGAACAGGATACAAAGCTATAATAGGTACATAATCCCCATTATCCCTAAAGCCAGACAGATAAGATCGATAACACCAACATTTTCAAGACAACTTTCTGTACGGAGTAGACAATTCACACTATCAGCAAGAAACTGTTTATCAATATATTTCGACTTGGTCTCTAGAACTATTTTAGTTACATTTATCATCGTCTTATAGTTACTTGGTCTTGTAATATTTTGGATACTTACTTCAATATATAATGATCTGTTTCAGTTTCATCCAAACATACTCAATAAAATCAAGAGCTGTCTTGACTTCCTGCAGTGTATTATTATGTACATGGATATATATTTAACAAAATCTAGTTTTTCATCATTACTCACCACTTCAAAAATTTTAAGATATTAGATAATTTATCGTTGTCTCTCAGTGTTTTTGGTGTTTTATTCATTTTGTCTGTTTCCAGTTAATACTGCTGTATCACCGAAGTATTATAGTCTGCACAGCGTATGAGTAATAAAAATCTCTAATCCCAGTGTAGCATCTATTCAGATTACAAACATGTCATGTTTTGAAATTACAGTTTTAGAAATAAATGAATGTATATACTCAAGTGATAGCTACTATATCTAATATTATCATCTGCCTTTGTGGTACTCCATAGTGTGAAAATTTTATAAAGGGATTCTAAACCATTTTGCCTATAGTCTGGTGTGTGCATATGATGAGTCCAAATTGCAAGTTTGGATTATTACAAACAACAGGTCAACTTCTGTGCTGTTATCACTTTTTGCTAAACTAAAGCGAAAGGTAACAGTGTAGATTCTCAGAACTTTTGAAGTTGTTCTAATTAAGCTCCCACATTTGCAGTATAAAATTTTTTTATCCCAGATAAATCTGTCATTTCCACATTTTCAACTGACTAGATTACTCTTTTGTGACTAATACTTTATCATGCATTTTTCCTATTTTAATTTTATTGCTAAATCGAATCTGTTTTTCCTTTGTTTTGTAAGTGAATTTAATTGATGATTGTGAGAAAGTTTTAGTCTAATAACCGTCCAGGGATGTTTATACCAACTGTTTTCAAGTCTTACATTAAAAAAATGCACTACTTTATCATTTCATTGATATTTCAAATAACATTCATGAATTGATACTATCCAGTAGATTAGAAAAACTATAACAAAGATACTATTTTATCAATGAAGTCGGTTTGTCACTATGGAATAAAGAGGATTACTTCGGTATAATCGATATTTAGGGAGACAGTACAATATAACGTAAATATTTCAAGTATTTGTATATTCACTTCAACTTGTATACAGTTTTGTATTCACTCTTTTTTTTCCTTACCTCTTAAAGTAACAATGTGTTTAAAAGAGCAGGATGAAACTCGAAGTTTGTTAAGTTCACGACTTGAGAATCGTGTTCCTTGGTATTCTGGTCTTTCTGTACGGTCTATGAGCAATGCAGATTTTTATACACCACAAGGTATATGTGATTTTCTCATTGTAATGCGTCACATTGTTTTTTTTTTATCATAAGTACATTTTATTTACTTGTTGTTTCGAAGATAAAACATATTCTGCTTCGATACCCGGTTATTTTTATCAACAAAAAAATAGTTCAATATCCTTCTATTTAATGAAATCCACAGAAAAAATATTTTTCTCTACACTACAGATGATCTACCGAGTTAGATTTAGTTAAGAAACTTTTGAAAATTGCAAAACTTAATATGATCCATAAATGTTAGATACTTGAATACTGATAGAAAAGTCTGAAATTATAATTACTGACTGTGTTTCGTTTTTTTTCAGTAATGATTCTAAGCTTCTTCAAATTTATAAATTCATTTTACCATAATCATTGCTGGCAACAGGTTAATAATGGAAACTTAATACTCCAATACCTCTTACTTACTGAGTTTGTATTAAATCTGATGTGTAATTATTATAACGAAAAATGTATTTTGTACAGTTTTTCCATTTCAGTTTAATTTTATGATGAAACAGTTAAAGATGATGTAAAAAGAAAACTAGACGGATAAATATCATTAACATAAATTCTGGCTCAGACTTTTTTAAAACTCATTAGAAATATTATTTTTAGTTTGCTTCCAGGTTTTCAATGGTGGTCTAGCTTCAACTGACTCATGATTTCAACCTGTGAAATTTCTAAAACTCTCAACAAAACCCATTCTGATATTTTTAGTTTCTTTAATTCTAACTATGTATAATAATTTTGGATGCATTATTTCAATGCTACAATTATCATACGTTCCGTTATATTCTATTTATCATTACAGGTTCACTATTCGGAGATGAATCACCTGTAAAAATTCCGAAATCTCATAATCTTGAAGCTGCTGTAGATGTAAGTTTTGTAATTAATTTAAACTGTTATAAGTCATTACTTATGAAAGTAAGAGAAAATACTCACTACTCAAGAGAGAGGTTTTTTCAGTATATTTATAGATTTTTGGATACCCTTTACTTTCTGGAAGTCTCTGGAAATATACTACGTTCCGTAGTAATATAAGTAATTATCCAATCAAAATGTTACATCTAATCCTTCATATTTTTAAATGTTTCTGGGAAGTCTCTGTTTGACGATAATTAGACGAAACCTTTCCAGGCCTCTCTGGACTCTTGGAAACTTTATCTATAATATTCTTGAGGACTCCGAACAAGAATTACATCATTGGTTGCATGGAACCAGCTTAAACTTACACATTCTTTGTGTAGCTAAGGTGTCGACATGCCCTAAATTTGTTCATGGAGGTTATTTACCTTGAGACGAATGACACGATAGTATTTAGTGATCCCTATATTTTATTAGAAACTGACCTATTCATACGTAAATATCAACAGTTGGAAAATTCAAACCCGTATAATTGACGGCGAATATTTACTTTTTAGTCTGCTATTTAACTTTTATATACTGATTGGTGCACACTGTTGAATTGTCCCTTTCAGTCCGTGTATATTGAATACTGATCATTTACTAAGTTGCACATTCGGACATCTAGTTTGTATTTCAAGAGCTTCAATTGATTTACGTGATTGGTATATAGAACTAGTTTAGTTGTGTGACCGTTCAATTGTTTTATACTCCTATAGTTCGTAATCCAGTTCTCTTTCTCATATTTTCCTCTTAGGTAGCTGCTTTGTTACATCGTACCAATTCTTTACAAACAGAAATGTGGAATTTATACGAAAATGAAATTTGGGGTGATAATTCACCTTCTGTCAATATCAAGTATCCACTTCGATCTGAAGCGTTGCCTAATTATCCTGCTAAGGTTTATCGCCTAGAGGTTGGTTTAAAATTTGTTCGTTCAGCCTACAATGAACTTGTTCATATTTCATCTGAATGTTACGTGAGAAAAAATCCCTACTACAACTCTCTCTATACCTAATGTGTAAAACGAAATTTCATTTTCTGTAGCAATTAATGGTAATTTACAGTTCCTGAAATACAATATTCGAATGTCTCTGATCATCTTTCTCAAGATATTTCGGTTTTCGTTGTTCAATATCTAATTATTTTAATTTAGAGACAAACTATTGGAACTTCTCAAAACTCGGTACACACGGGTAAGACAGTTCACGATGTCCTGTTCTCCAGTGACAGTCTTAAAATCCTCAGTCTATCTACATATGCTCTATACTTGCTTGAATAAGTAAACTTATGGGGTTATCTTAAATATAAGTTTACGATCTTATGTTCTTTGCTCATTGCATTAATTCCGATTTGTTATTATTCAAGAGTTACACTCACAAAAATGAAATTGGGTAACTTAACATTGTATCTGATGTGTAAATATATTATCTTTGTCGTACATCCTCGAAAAGCTACATGATCCGATAGTGTTCTCTTATCTTTTATGTTCCGTTATCCAGTTTGTTAGTTTTACAAATTGCTTAATTTGGTCTTACTTTCGTCTTCCATGTTCAATTGATTTCTAAGGACCCAATTGTAAATCTTTGAAATTTACATCTGTTGAAATTCACTAAAAATACATCCTTGTCAAGAAGGTTTTCAAACGTGTTACTCTGAACTGAATACAACATTGACTGATATAACTTGGGGTGCGTTTCAGAATATCGCAGCTAATAAAGTCCAAATGGTTGTTACTGTTGAGTTCACTGATATATGATTACTAGCTGTCACTATTAAAGTGTACCTTATATGTCAAGTATCTGGTCAATGAGTTAATTAAAAAAATGAGAAATAATTATATTTATTTCTTACGTTCATATTGGTCGTTGTACTGATAAATGTTTTTTGTACTTTTATGTAGGGTTTATTGTCAGTTTCACCGTTTCATTTATTTAATGATATGGTTATAAATGTCCATGAGACGCCTAGCTGGAATACTACTCTGACATCCGTTGAGGTTAGTAGAAATTCGCTTGTTTTATGTAGTTAATTATTTAATGCTCTTTAAAAATAACCAATTAATTCTACAGTTTTAACGTTATTGATCTATAGAGTACATTTAATTATTATTATTATAACTGTTGGATGAAATGAAATAACTTATTTACTAAAATCACCGGTTAAAGGTTAGTTAGTTAATCAGTCATAATCAATGTAGAACCTCGCACATATTTGTATTGTTCCAATTTGCCACTCTATGTTAACACAACGAGATTAAATTAACAATATATATTGCAAAACATACCGAAATAATATAGTAATAATTATATTGAGAAAGAATAGACATTGAGAATACGGTTTGTGAAGATAGAGTGGAAAAGTATACATGAAGGATACTGGAATTCAAAATTGCTCCTGTTCTCTGCCATTTCAACCAACACCTCTAATCACTGGTCGCAGTTATCTCGCGGGCCCCTACCAGGTAGTTCGCATAATCTAATATCGCTCATATCAACAGTCAATCATTACATGAGTTGATACCACGTCTTGGTTTGGTCGCCCCTAGCTTTCTTCCGAACTAGTAAGCATGGCTCACTTCAGTTGATAAAAACTTACAATTTCATCAACCAATTCACTACATTTCCCTAGTACCTAACCGACTGTCTGACCACAACATTGCTCCCTCAGTCGTTCGTGAAACGCTAGCAATGCTTTGAATATATATGATTAGAAGCACATCGCCTAGTGAACTTCTCTACTTTCACGGATTATGTTTAACAGCCATAGATCAATACAGTCAGTCAGTCAGTCAGTAACAACGTAGAACTTCGTACGTACGTACATCAGTTCGAGTTGCCACACCACATTAGCACAGAGATGCAGTTGTCGATTCAAATCCCGTAGTGGTAGAGGTAATAAGAGTATAAGCAGTAATCGGGAAGATTAGGGTTTGGAGATGTTATTTAAAGAGTATAATCCAGTGAAATAAATTTGGAAAGAGGAAAAAAGGGGCATGAAGAATTCAGAAGATTAGAATTTGGGAGAACACAGAGAGTGGATGCACCTGCGCCATTGCAAACGATTTTGAGCCATGTCATTCAGGGTCTCTAACCATTGGTTGCTATCATCTCGCGGTCCCCAACCAGGTAGTCTACACCTACCAACATGACTCAGTTCACTTGTCAGTGACTTCATGGACTTGTGTCAGAGAGAATCGATCTGTAGTATGTTTGTCTTTTTTGTTTGGCGGATGGATATCTGAATTATGCCACAAGTAACGAATATTGGCAAAACCTAACCAAGCTTTCTAAATCTGTGCTCAGATTTCTCCAGATACCAGTTCATCAGAGCTGAAGAAGCTTCTAAAACAAGTGTAGTGATCAGTGTTTGCTTCCTGATGTCACTGGTAGATTTAAATACTCCACACAGTTAAATATGAGATCATTCATCAATTCACACTTTCCACACCATTATAATACTTTTCTTAATAAGTTGTGTTTGTGACTTTTTATTTTGGTATGGGAATAGTAATAGACTACTAACTGATCTATCAATTAGTTAAAAATAAGAATACCGGCTTAACTATTTGTTCATTAGTTATGCACTCTTTTACATTTGATTGATGAGATTGAGTTCAAATATGTCGACTTTCAATTACATTCAATCTGTCCACTTTTCGTAATGCCATCAACTCTACGTAGTTCACTATTCTCCTTTAAGTACTTATTACGTCCTTGATCTGTCCACTCACTTTTGTGCAGAGGATAACTTGTCTAATCTAGATTATACCTTGACGCGATAGGCTGACTGGCTTAACCTTAAGACTTGTATGCGTGAGTTCTAAGTGAGACCAACTATTCTATCACCTGATTGGCTGACAAGCACGCGAGTGAGTCAAGACAAGTCAACTGGAACACTACTCGGTTTATTTCCAATTCCGATCTGGTTCCCGATTTCAGATTAGTGTAAAAAGATACATGAATAAATAAATGACTAACCAGACCACAACGTACAAACAATTAGGAAAATGAAAATTATCGCTGAAAAATCCCTATTATATCAAAACGCAATTATTTGAACGATGAATATTCTTTTCAATAATTTTTCATTAGGTTCTACAATTATAAATCCAGATTAGTAATCCATAAAGTTGTAGAGATAATAATAATAATAATAATAATATTAACCTTTTTGAGAAATTTATTCAGCATCCACCCCTAAATCTACTATATCTGACCTAATTTATATTATTCTACATATTACGTAATTTCTGATTTTTATCCCATTATTTTCTCTCTCACCCCATGTTGATCATATTTATTCTGATCATTTGTCTCACAATTTCATTTCGCTTATAATCTGATTCAAGTTAACGCTTCACATTAGTCAACCCGAACATTAACGATCTCATTTGATTTTATATAACAAACAACAAATCTTGATTCACATATTACAATTTCCAAATGATGTACTCTGTCTTAAATCTGTCCAATTCTATGGATTATTAACTTGGATTTATAATTGTAGAACTTGATAAGAAATACAATTATGTCCGAAGCTGGGATTTAGAATAGAAAATAGAGTACATAAGATTACGTTTAAATTAAAATAGCTTTGGAACAGAAAAGGCTATGGCAGTGAATCATACATCAAACGAAAGCTTATAATCTACAGAATAGACTAGGGACAAAAATAAATATTACTGTTTTACAAGCTTTGAATTAAATGAAATAAGCTCCCAAAAATTAGCCTCCGTAGTTTGTTGTTTCTTGTTTCTCTGTTCACATAAGTACTAAAGTTATTTCGATAGCTAATATAAATGACTTAGTTTTATATACCATCATGTATACTTAGAAAGTTATAATCACTATTGTAGCTATAATTTGATAGAATAAACACTTTTTGATATTCAATCACTAATTATGTAGCTATTTCACTTGTCTTGTATCGTTTTCCTTTGGGAGGGGGAGTTGATTCAACTCAATACTCCTGTTTTTTTTCCAGAAATACTGTAGTTACACTTTCGATAGATTCATACAACTTTGTGACTATTGCACGTCGTCGTTTAATTATTTAAGCTCTTATTTCTAATGAATCGACTGTCGTCTGGTCATTGTAGCTTATAGCATTTTAACATCTATCAATCAACTTCTATGTATTTATCTTTTTTTTAAAATCCGTTATCATCGAATGCACAGACCTGATTCCAGTACCCCCATATTCTTAAATAATTTGGAATGTCGTTACACCAAATTATAATAAAATCTTTCCACTTATTCATTCATTGTATGTAAATTACCCACATATATTTTTTACTAATAAATCTAGCTTTATTTAAATATAAGATGATTTTCGTCTGAACGGTTGATAACATCTTTCCGTAAACGTAAAATAGATAAAATTCGGGATATCAATTACACTACAGATGTAGTGTAGTAGTACAATTGTGTGTTCACTTAGATCATGATTCGGCATTGAATGCTTAGCGTTTTATGCTTAATTATAAGATTTGAGATGAATTATTATCTACAAGCAAAGATACATAACAATGACCTCAATTTTTTGTACGTTTTTAGTGCATCCAAGCCTTGGCTTCAGAGAATATTGACATCATACACAATATGGCTAAAGAGGCTGTCGGAGGTTTAATATCTGCCAGGTTAGTTGATCGATTATGATCATATACTTTTCAAAATGAGTTTACCATTCATGAATAATTCCATAATCTAAGACGACTAATGTGGATACAGGGATATGACGGCTAATATTTATTTGAAGCTTTCAAACAATGTTTCTCGTCAAAATTGTAGAGAAAATTGTTTTATTTTTAATAAGAATTCGTTAATCAGTATTCATTACTTACTCCCGTTACCCTTCGTGGAAGATCATAGATTGCCCACCAGCATTCTCCATCAAACTCGGTCCTGAGAAGTCCTTTCCAGTTGCTATTCATCCTTTTGCTGTCTTCTTCCAACTCTCGACGTAGCGTGTTCTTTGGTTTTCCACTTTCCCTTTTCCTCTCAGGATTCCAAGTTAGCGTTCGCCTCGTGATGCAGTTTGATGATTTCCCCAATGCATGCCCTATCCACCTTCAACTTCTTTCCCTAATTTCCTCTTCAGCCGGGATCTGGTTTGCTTTGTCCCACAATAGGCTGTTATTGATGGTGTCCGGTCAACAGATATTGAGTATCTTGCGTAGTCAGTTGTTTACAAATACTTGCACTTTTTGATGATAGTTGTGATAGATCTCCAAGTTTCAGCTCCGTATAATAGAACTGCCTTGATGTTAATATTGAAGATTCTGGTTTTGATGTTGGTTGGCAGTTGTTTTAAGCTGCATATGTTCTTCAACTATAGGAATGCCACTCTTGATTTACCAATTCGTTTGTAGTTCTTCTAGGGTTACTACAGGTCCCAAGGCCGGGTGAAGAAGAAGAGTTGAGCATGGGTTCAGCAACCCCATTCCATCGAAAACAATCTTTCTAAAAAGCGCTAACTAGAATAAACAATATTTAGCCTAACTCATGTGTTAATACCCATATTTTTCAAATGTTATGCAATCACAATTTATAACTCTGTGCATAAGGGTTTGTATTTACCTGTCATGGATATTCAAAACTTAGTTAATCAATCTCTATTGGCAATTAGTCTCCCTAAATCGATGTTTTGATTTTGCCTGCATTTACAAGTTGATCTTATTTAGTATGATTACTTGTAGATGGATCTAAAACATTCATTTCGTCCTATTTGGTATGTGTCTGTTTATTATCACCACATCCTCTTGTTGAAGTTCAGACTAAGACTCAAACCCATTATCTATCTCTTCAGACACTCTAGTTTGTAAAAGTAAAGCATGACTGACTAGTGAGTGAAGATAAACAAATGCTTAATATGTGAGACCATGTAGCATCCACTGTGGATTTCTGCTCAGATTTCGTTGTGTTGACCATTTGTAAATCATGTGAATAACCTTGTCTAGTCTAGTCTGGTTCTCAATCGTCGGACGGACGTTGGTTATCTAAGTTCACATAATCTGATATCAGGATGTCTATAGCATATTGACCCTATTAGTTTTATTATCAAGTCGCATTATACATTTACTGTCATCAAACCATATTTTTACCTTTATATCACTTTTACTCGGTTGCTAAGTTACGATATCGATCAGATTATTTCTTATACTAGTACGTGCAAAAATATGTTGGTATAACTGTTGTCACACAACAGCAACATGTGTAAAGGAAATAAATCATTATTGTTCAAAGTGAGAATAAGTGATGAGCACGTAAATGTCAGAAAATAGGACAAATCTCTTTCTTAAACAATAAACAGAAATGGAAAATGTATGAATCACTATTATATGAGTCTTCTGTGTCGTTCCCAATGAACTGTATTATTTAATTGATGGTTATTTGTGAGTCAGTGATTACAGTGAAATAGATTACATAAATAAACATAATAAGTAAAAAGTACAAATTGATAGCATGATGACATGTGTACTAGCTGCGATAAGAATAATATAGGCTTGGATCAGTGCTTTGTGATAGGAAGTAGGCCAATGACCTGGCAAAATAACATTAAAACAACATAAAATTATATTGTGATTAGACAGTGAAGTGTACATTTGATAAAAGTGGGTAAAGAAAAATAAACGAACAAAGTGTATGTGAAATAATAATAGATAAAATCTTTTATTAAAAGTAATTCAGCCAAGGAAGATATATTGGTGTTATAAATTTCTTATGAACACAAAAACTTGGACTTCTCGCTCGAATCCCTATAGCTTCTGAAATATCTAAGAGACGAGATCAAACTCCATGAGGAAAGCCAGGAGGCATACGATAAATTACTTTAAATCATTTATTTGGATCTACCGTATCACTGCTATCGGTCAAGTGTAACGGAACAGAGCTATGTGTTGCTTTTATCATGCCCTTCTCTAACCAAGAAAGGTGGTGTTCACTAAATCGTTGGCTTAGTTATCTGGTTATACACTCAATATAGTTTTCTTCACAGGGGTAGCTGAATCCATAGATGTACATGAATGTAAATGTGATACTTATTACCATTCTTAAATTTTGAATAAAGTCTAAATAAGCAGCTAAAGCAGAATATTATGAATTCATTTTATATTTTAGTTTTCCTCCAGCTACTTACTGCTGTATTCCTAGAACATTGAATTATGATATAATAATAAGCAATGGACATTGGAGATAGAGAGAATTGGAATAACAACGCTTATCAGTTATAACTTCATATACTTACTACCTCACTCCCCTCCATATTTTTAAATCTCAACTTCAAATTGCTTCACATATGGAGACACTGCTTGAGTGTGATGTTCTAAATTAGTTCTCACATAAGTGAGGTTTGAAATCCTAAACATATCTTCACAACAACATTCAAATGCTCGGTGTGGCGGCCATAACATCCAAGATCCTTTGACAGCTTCTCCATTTCAATACCCAGTTGTTTTAAAGTCGTGATTTACCATTACCTGTAGAATGGGTTTTGTGGAAATTTTTTAGATATTTCAATAGTTGAAATCACGAGTCACTTGAAGCTAAACCACCATGGAAAACCTGGAGGCACTAGACGGCCGTTTCGTCCTAGTACGGGATCAGGTCTGTTGTGAGATATCAACTCACTGAAGACAATGGTGTACGGTGGCGCAACTTCGTGGATTGGTTGAAGTTAGATATTAACGCCGCTGGATGCCGACTCAGTGGTCTAATGGTTAAGCGATCGCGCGCGAGACTGGTAGGTCCTGGGTTCGAATCTCGCAGGGAGCGGGATCGTGGGTGCGCATTGCCGAGGAGTCCCATACTAGAACGAAACGGCCGTCCAGTGCTTCCAGGTTTTCCATGGTGGTCTAGCTCCAATTGACTCATGATTTTAACTATTGATATTGCCTCTAGGTCTTTTTGTTACTTCGCGTGTAGAAACGGTGTACCATTGACTGTACACCAATGATGCATGTATATACCTATAAATCACATCGGATTTTAGTTTAAGAGGGTGTGATAACAATTCGATAGACACTCAATAAATGAAATACGGTGTGGTACACAATATTGTAATGGACGAAGTCATAGGTAGTAAACCAGTTTATTGCATTCTGCAATAAACAATTCGCTATTTGCCCATCTTCCTTGAGTTTATCCCTTACAAACTCCATTATTCTTTTATCCGTGTTGCTATTTCGATTGCTTTCTATTTTTCTCTTCTGTCCGCACAAGTAGTACACAGCACAGTATAAAGTTTTATCATCATCCCAATGTAAGCTCTATTTAATTGACATAAATTACTTAAAAATTTATTCAAATTCACTTTAGATATTTTAAATTTGAATATAGTCAGTGCAGTTATTGTTTGTATTAAATTTACATTATATTGTGTTTTTTTTAACCTACATATATGTATATGAAGAGATTTTGTTCTGTTGAGATCATGGGGAATACATAACAATAATTGTTACTTTATATGTTGTACTTCTGTTGAACATCCTAAATGTCCACCGATTCCAAATTATGTACGGTAAGTGTATATTTTTGTTAATTAAATATAAACTATCCACATGTTTTTTCTCTTACTCTTATGCATGAAATGTTTGAAAATCTTTTGAAATGATTCAGATGCATTCAGTTTTTTCTTAGTTCCTAAGTTTATAAATTCCTGAAAAATTTTTTTATTATTTCACTGATTTATATCTTCTTAAATTGTGTCTTCGATACCTAATCTTTTCTATTAACGCCTATACGTTTACTAACTACCACTACTTTGGGATTTGCTCTGAAAATTTCATCTCACTGTGGTAATAGGCGGTATAGGCAACTTGAAGCGATAGTACATACGTACCAGGTTCAACGTTGCGTTCGACTGAATGGTTGACTGACTATCATGAAAGGGTTTTCATTGAGCATAAGCATTCAAACATACGTTAATGATATTGTTGTTTCCAGTCTAACAAGAAAATCGCACTACTATTTGGTGTACAAGTTATCATGCATTGTGTGATTGATTTCATAAGATATGTGATATGTGTCCAGTGAAATTAAAGTGTGATTGACCAGTAAGCGTGTTTAGACAAACACTCTGACAACTACCTATTTAATATGATATCTTTCCTGTAATTAATTTCTACGCTGAATGTTAACTGCTTATAAATTATTTTTTAGCTTATATTCTAGTTCACTATGTCTGGTTGTAAATCGTGTATCGGGTATAACGCTATCCGTTCTTTTTATACCCAATCGATTGAGTATTCAGCCTAATGTCAGTCACCGGCCGAATTATAGTATTGTGGAAACGAGAAAATATTTCTATTCATCCGTTATATCAATGATTCCTTTATCATATAGCTAAATTCATCTTCTAACCAAAGAGTGAAATTAGCATGATATATTGTTACTTTAACAGTAGCTAAACATACTTAGATTATGAATATTCTATTACATGTGTATTGGAAACATTTCTTAGCACCCATCTTAACCATGGAGTCACCATTATAGATTTCGGTCACATCTTATTGTATTGATGAAGTTGTTAATTTTTTCATTATGTTAAACAGTTGACAAACGTGGTACGTATGCACCTTCCTTAGCGTGCTTTCTTAACTAGCTGAGGAAAAAGGTTTATGATGGACAAACCGAAACAAAGCATGCTTTCTCGTAATCATGAAATGTTGTTGTACAATTTGTGCGTCATGAAGAAAATCAACAGACCAAATTAACCCCTAACACAAGTCCTTTGTCCGACTTATCTAGCTGAAAGGAGGGGGACATACGTTAAATGACCTTCTACCTGGAAGTTGTACTAATAATGCTGGTCAGAAGAACAATGAAAGTTCCACTATTAAACCATTCAGCTCAGTGTACGAAACTCCACCAAAATAATCCATCAGAGCTGCTAGGGAGACCTAGAAAATCCCTCGGAAAAAACCTGTAGAGGCTCTAAAAATTCTGGAAAACATTTTATTTAATCAGCATTCAATAGAAGTTTGTCAGAAACATCTAGTAAATGAAGAGTCATATTTCTGCATGGATGATTACCTATCCTGCTACTATATTTAGAAAGGTTCCAGAACTTTACAGAAGCCCAAGACCATTTGAAATGCTGTAAATACCCTCGATTTTCTGTACATAAATTAACCTTGGAGTAAAGCATCCTTTCCATATTTCACGCCTTTTCTCTCATGTTCAAGTTGTCATGTAGCTTTAGCTTGGGGTTATTAGAATAGCTTAGGAAACCGATTCAAGCGTTCAGTCAGAAGATTTATCAAGAGCTACAAATCTCTACCATCTCAAAATCCCCTCATCTACTCTCTTTATCTTAATGATTATGTATTTTGTACATCTTCCCCTCTCTTTCGTCAGCTACCCCAAATGCCCTGGTACGACCGAGAGTGGGGAGAGGCCGCTCTCCCTCTCGAAATGCGCTCTCACATGGCCACGCGTATGTAACCTCTGCCAAAGTAGTCCTACTCACTGCCTTCTCGCGGTGGGGGTATTGTTCACGAAATTGAGAGGATGGAAAGCGAAATTCCGGCGCTTTAACTGGGTTGGTGGACATAGAGAGTTCACCTAGGGGAGTTGGAAAACCCTGATTCCAAACCAATGGTGCACATGGGCTCCAATAACCTGAAGGAACAAATGGCGTGTGAACCAATTGTTAGTCACCGGCTACCATGGGACTGCATCTCCTCACGATGCTCCGCTGCCTTGTGGATCAGACCTTTAGGTCAAAGGCTCGGGGTGTGGCCCCCTAAGAAAACCATCTGCTTCGGTTTGGGCACCCGGGCAGTATGACAGCCTTGTGGATCAGACCTTTAGGTCAAAGGCTCGGGGTGTGGCCCCCTAGGAAAACCATCTGCTTCGGTTTGGGCACCCGGGCAGTATGACAGCCCTCACACAAATCTGATAAGGTGACAATTATTTCACGAAATACTATGTTTGTTCCAATTAGAATTCAGACGTTTCATACTCACTTGATAACACTCATTATTATTATTACTATTTTTTTATATACTACGTCACTTATCTGCCCCTATTCTCACTTCATATATCCCCTCTTTCAACTCGCCCATCGCGGAAACTCTGTTCTGTCTAAACGTTCTCGAGTCACTGACTGGTTGAAAATTGAATGCCACTACCAAATACGAATACTGAAACAGTCTTTCTGAAACCACGTGCACCATTCAAACTGACCTCGTTCAACGTTCACACACTAATGCTGGCTGGACAACAGATAGGGCTGGCTATGTCGTTAGAAAGTCTTAATATCGACGTCTTGGACGATGGGCAGAATTTTTCGAAGGGCAGTTCAACTGGCCTGTTGCTCCAGTAACATCGATCAGACTGTCGGTGACGACTGATCCACCAAACGAGGCAGAAGTCCGCAAGGAACTCCAACTTTTGAAACGCTGCAAACCCCCAGGTTCAGATGACCTCCCTTCGGCTGTTTTTAAAGATGGTGGCGACTTTCTGGCTAGTGAACTGACGATGTTGTTTACAAAGGTCTGACAATTAGAGTGTTCTAACATCATGGAATGAGTCGATAGTTGTCCCTATATTTAAAAAGGGTTCACATCGCCTATGCAACAACTGTCGAAAGGTAAGTCTACTTTCAATTGCGTTCAAACTATTGGCTTCCATCATACTTCATAAATTTTTCAAAACCGGAGGAAGATTGTCTCGCGAGGTGCAGGCTGATTTTCATTCTGGTCGAGTATGTTTTGATCATATTTTCACTCTCCAGCAAATGTTAGAACACCGTCATACTTATCACAGGCCAACAATCGTAGTGCTTCTTGACATCAGAGCTGCTTTCCATTTGTTGGACAGGGCTGTTCTCTGGGATTGTCTACTGAAGAAGGGTGTGCCTGAGAAGTTTATCAACATCCTAAAAGCCCTATATACAAACACCTCAGGTAGAGTGAGGACATACAACCACCTTTCTACATTGTTCCATTCACGAAGTGGGATTAGACAGGGTTGCCAAATTTCACCATTCCTCTTCAACTTTGCCATCGATGACATTCTGGGAACAGCTCTGATGGATGTAAGTAATGGCGGTGTGGATCTATTGTCTGAAGAAAGACTTCTTGACCTTGAGTATGCAGATGATATTGTCTTACTGTGCGATAATGCCCAAGCCATGCAATCTGCACTTAATCAGTTGGGAATTATCGTCCTTAGGTATGGTATATGTTTTGCACGTTTAAAGTGCAAAGTACTTTTACAAGACTGGCAGGCCCCTGATCCTGGACTCACCCTGGGTAGTGAGCAGATATAAGTAGTCGAGATGTTCGTGTATCTAGGTAGCTGCATCTTGAAACATCGACTTCGGTGGCTTGGACATGTTCTACGAACGTCATCCCAGAGAATTACACGTTGTGCATTATTTGCCGACTCTGGGAATGGTTGGAAAAAGTAGATAGGTGGTCAGTGTATGACATGGTGTCGTGGTATGAAAGAAGGCTGTACAGGCCTGGCTTGTGTTGGTCCTTCACTACTCCCTGATTGGGATCCTAGAGATGGTGCAACACAGTGGCTAGAGACGTTATCAGATATGGCTCAGAATAGAAGCCAGTGGCGATCCTGCTGTAACCTTTTCTTTCTTCATGAAAAGTGACCGTAACTTCTTTAACTGAAAGGATTCTTTCTGGTTGTATCTTTCTGTTTCTCCCATTATTATTACTATTATTTCAGTACCATACACTAATCTGTGGTCGTTATTGGTCCTTTTTTCTTCTCTCTTATACGCACCTTACATTCTTTATCTCTTCCCATTCTCATTATTATTGTGTGGCGCATATGAATCTGGTGCCCCCTTGTACCCATATTTATGTGTTCAAATAAATAATTAAATAATAATATAAAGTTTGTTTAAAGACTTGTAATTTACCTATATATAATGTGTATGGTTCTAAAAATAAACCTATTGGAAAAGAAATTTTGAACTAAAAACACCACCCATCGTCTGTATATCTTTGTGTTTTTGTAGTCGTTGTTATTGTTATCTAATAATGATAATAATCCGTGGGATTTGCATTGGTGAATAAATAGTGTCCATGTTTAACTATTTTGCCCATGGATGTACATGAAAACGCAATACTTTAATCCTGATTAAGTCTAGTGATCACTGATTTTCCGCATGTTTTAAAGCGTAAATAAGCTTTTCTCTCTCCCCATTTTCCTTGATCTTCATACTCACTAAACCTACAGACATAAATATTTCAGTAATTTTCATATTAAAGTTAACACTATAAATATATAATAGAATCGATGATTTTCATTTGATACAGATTCTTTCACTGTTGATTTTTTCCTAGATCTCTGTTGTATTTTACATTGTATATAAGTGTTTAGAAAACTTATTGATGGAATGATTTGTTTCGGTAATATTCTGTCTTTAGTAGTTCGGAATTTCGAAGTATTTGTAAATAAACAAACAGATAATACATTGTTTATTATTCTAGGTGGAAGTTCTAGGTTTTTCTGTAATTAGATTATTTTTATCGATCCACAGTATATACTGTAAATCAGAATTCTACATTGTTCAATTCCATATTTGAATGTTTACATTTAATCTGTCTACAGTCAACTGTATATTAATTTAAACAATTAGTATGAATAGCAAGATTTACCACAACTTCTAAGTTTGCATGATGATAACATCAAGGTATTAAATACCCTGTATCAAATTTCGTTACATATTACATTGATCATACTGTGTTTTTACTAAGATATTTCAATGGCTATATATTTGTCCATAAATTACGGTTATTTACGTTAATTCACTGTCTTAATTTACTTTATTCGTATCAACGTTTTTTTTCTTCTGAAAACAAATAGTTCTGGATACATTTTTTTTACAAGAAAAACAAGTTAAACTCGTAATCAACACTTTAAGTCTATAATCTTTTTTAAAACAAAACAATATTTTCTTTAGTGCTGAACAAGTAATTAGTGCATGTATATTCCGACCAATTCCTGATTGTCCAAATCAATGCAATTTAGTATGGTTCTTATGCAATGATTTAAAGGTATGTTATTATTTTCGTAAGATATTAAACAGTATGAATTTAAGAGAAATATTCTTGCCCTCAAATGCCCTGGTACGGCCGAGAGTGAGGAGAGTCCGCTCTTCCTCTCGAAATGCTCTCACATGACCACGCGTATATATCCTCCGCCAGGGAAGTCCTACTCACTGCCTTCTCGTGCCGGGGGTGTTGTTTACGAAAATGAGAGGACGAAAAGCGAATGTCCGGGGCTTTAGCCGTATTCCAAATCAATGGGTGCACATGGACTCCAGTATCCTGAAGGGACAAATGGCGTATGAACAAATCGTTGGTCACCGGCTTCCATGAAACTGCATCTCCTTACGATGCTCCACTGCCTTGTGAATCAGACCTTCAGGTCGAAGGCTCGGGATGTGGCCCCCTGAGAAAACCACCTGCTTCGGTTTGAGCACCCGGGGAGTATCACAGCCCTCACACATATCAAACGAGATTTGTGTGGCGCATATGTATTTGGTGCCTCCTTGTACCAATATCTATGTGTTAAAATAAATAAATGAATGAAGATTTATTAGTAGTAGCTTCTATCTATTGTTTACTGAGCTTTTGATATTTAAACAAGAATTTCCAGATTTAAAATTTACTAGAAGTCGTTTTGAATATTAGTTTGTTACCTTAGTAGAAGCTATTTTAGCATCATAATAACAGCAGCCTCCTTTATAGACATTGATTATAAGTATACTAAAATGTTAGTGTTTAAGTTCTAGATAAATATATATTTGAAGATATTCAGCTTCTAAGTAGCAGCTGTCAAATAAATTCGGTCACATTTTGTTTTCATTTGGGTACCTGATATGTTTGTCCACTTCTTATATTTTGCTGTTAATTATGAATGATAACGTTGATTGTTACACATTAATGTAAAGTTTTTTGATCAGTACTATTTTACTCAAACATTTTAGCTGGGAATTCCTCAAAGACTTCTAGATAGATCATTGAATTCTCTTCTACCTTCAATGATGGCTGGTTTAATCGAAAGATGTAAATTAATAGAAAATACTCCTGTTGATGACTTTTTTGTTAATATTCAACCGCGCCGTGCACACACAAAAAAAAAACACGGTAAACGTTCAGCCAGAAAACATCATGCTCGTTCAAAGGCCATAATAAAGGCGTTGGATTCAGTACAAGAAAATGTTAGTCATTCGTCTGAAGACAGTGGTACTGCTGCTGATAATTTACACTCAGAAACTCAAAAGTTAATTTAGTGAATCTATTGAATCATTTTTTCTACTATGTATAACTTCTGCTCATTTGTATTGTCAGTTGCTAGATAATTAAGTGACATAAATGATTGCTTAATACTTCCAATCACTTGTAAATCATTCATTTCTGCCATTACTGTTTCGTAAGCAATATTTTATGAAGATCTACAATAGACTACTAACTTAATTTATTTGTTTGTCTTCTCAGATTGATTTCATCTCTATATCCGGTAATGTATAGTTTATATTATGATTATTATTAATATTTTTTTGTAAATAAAAAAGCAAAACAGTGATAACTTTCAGATTTTTATTAAGTAAGATCAATGAATGTTTTAAGACGAAGTGAATACATTTCATTTCCTCTACTTCAAATATTTTTCATACACAGTGATTTGTTTAAATAAAATATTTTACTGTTTCAATTTTAAGAATAATATCCACGGTCATTTAAGTCACTAATTAAGAGTAATCATAATATTCGCTGTTGTATTTTGAATAAAAATGTGGACTACCGCTACTGGTACCACTGTTTTGTTAAGACTGGAGAATAACGACGAGACTATAATTTATAAATGAACCAATCAGATTTAAGATAACATGTCTTGCATCTTGGCGCGAAATTCATTCATCTACGTAACGAAGTAGCATTTTGACGCTATAGCTGATGTTGATTTGTGATGAAAAGGCTAATTCGAATTCTTTACACTAACTGTTAACCCTAGTAAGTAGGTGGACATCCGCATCGTCCATAAATTTTTGGCTCACCAGAATTAACTATTACTTGCTACTTAGTGCAACGGGACAAAACTGCTCTCCAAGACAACGAGGAAAGTAAGATCGTAGATGTAGACTTGTTTCTCAATCACCAATGAAAACGATATCGAGAATATTGATGTAATATTTATTAATTATGGTGTTTGGTTTACAAATACATTATACCGCATTAAACTAGAAGTTAATTAATTATTTAATTTTTTCAATAATTATTTAAAGTAAATAAATTACCTGTTTTAACTGAACGACCTAACTTCTAACTGAATTATTTATTTGCTTTCTTAGCATTTGTATTATGTATTTTCTAAAATTCAATTTATGAACGAATTAGATGAATAGAAACCAGATTGTAACGTTATTAATTACAGGAAACGTGTGGATATTGCTGCAGTTTGTGACGGATCCCAGTAAAAGAGCTTATTCAAGACATAACAATACGCACAGTTACTAGTGATATACCAAAATGAATTAACACTACAAACCTAAGTGTTTGTTTATGAGTAAAGCAAAAAGGTAACAAATAACACAATAAAAATGGTATATTAAATAAGAAAATGATAATAGTTGTTATGAAATGAATGTTACTTGTAAGCTTCTGAGATAACATTCAAAAATAGGTTCACTTGATTAACGAATGTTCCTCTGCATGTGATAGCACCAACAGCGTAGTGAGAAAGATTAAATCCGATAGCATTTTTCAATTAATAATCCGGGCCCAAATTCCAACGAAGTGTAGAATGGTTTAAAACAATGTCATAACACTATTATAATATTCTAATACTAGCCGTGGCCAATAAAGCAGAAGAACAGACGGCAGAGAGGCAACCGCTCAGTGGCATCCTCCATGGTTGAAGGCTACTGAGCACTTAAAGACCAAATTGTCGTAAAACGGTTGGTGCATCACCTGGACAATCCATAGGGTTTTGCAGAAGCGTTCAAATCAAGACAATTTCAGATTTGATGAGTTTTAATGACTCGAGATCTGACGCCAACTGGCTCGTTTCTGATTCATACTGAGATGTACAGGTTAAAACATCGTTGTGGCAGACCTGCATGCCACTTCCCTGTCGATGATGGAATGCAATAAGTGGTATCAAAATGTGTGCACCGAAGTCAAACCGGCTGCATATAAAAGGAAGTCGCAGATGCATAAGCACTTCAGGCAGACTTAAATATTGTGATTAGCTGGTCCAAGGAGTGGCTGATGTCTATCAACGCTGCAAAGTGGGTCTACATGAACTCTGGGGACACAAATCGATTTCTTTGCAGTCGCTTCTTACTGTTTCAGTACAGTTACAAGAATCTGGTAATGTTCGATGGGTGGTAGTCTTGGAATTCCACTGAACTAATTCTAGTCGGTGTGGTACTCATTTGTTGACTTTTACATTTTGTAATTTCAATGCGTTTGTCTCAAAACCGCAGGGTTTCTGCATAGCAGCAGCTATCGAATTACCAAGCTAAATGTTGGTTGGTTGCAATGTGAAAATTATAGTTTGTAAGAAGATGAAATCGAAAGAATGAGAGGGGAACGGAGAAGATAATAGGAGTAATTACTGATACACGGCTATGATGACCGTGGTAATTTGTAAGGCGTGCATCGGACGCAGCTGGTCTAGGAGGAGGATGGCAGTCCACGGCCGAGTATGTGTTTGTCAAGTCTCTTGGTTTGCAGAAACAGTTCGTCTCAACCCAAGTATCTTATGACTACGGAGAGTAAGGCCTTATGTAGAAAACACCGGGACTTACCAATATTTCCGCTTTTCAAACCTCGTGTGAAATCAAATTTCCTTATTACGATCAGGTCCCTCAACACATTGTGACTTTCGTAGCATCATTCTAATTTATTATTGCACAAATGTTTATACTAATATCCGGTTTTACTCTGTATACTATTACATAAATCTACATTTATTCATCCGAGTTCATACAATTATTATCATGGTGGAACCTTTTCACTAGATGATCACTTCCTTTCTCTCTCTTTCTTTCTTCTAAATAAATATTATTCATAAGATTCCGAAGTTTGTAATTAAGACAATAACTTGTGTTACACTTAAATTAACTTCTCACTCTCCTTTTATCTTCACTATGCATACATGGTTCATACATATTGATATTTGGTTATACTTTGCGCTTAATTGAGACTTTCATAGCATCACTCCTAGCTATGGCTGCACAAACACTTATTCTAACGTCATGTCTTACTGCAATAATAAGTTATTTTTTATAATTTTATTTTGTTTTATTTACTCATTTGGCGATACATACATAGTCGTTTCTTATTCTTCTGTGTTCATAAACACACTCATTAAACTATTTGCGTATTTCACGTCTTCTTTATATCCATTCCCTTTCCTTCTTTAAAGTCAACTCGATATTCTTCTCAATTACACAGAACCTGATTTATTCTTATTATTCTATTGTCACCATTATCTTCCTTTTCTCTTTTCGAATATAGCAAATATAATGCTAACATTATTGAATCTTGTGCATCATTGCATTTTTGAAGAAACCCGAAATGGTTTGTTCACAACACTTATGTACCCAGTAGATGTTTGTGGATAATAATAATAATAATAGTTAACGGCAGTATTGTAGACAACTCTGATGCCATTTTTGAACAATTCAGCCGCCATTTCTCGCGATGCTACAACACAAAATCTATATGGAAAACATCACTTATCACCCATGAATTCAAAACGGGAACATGTATCGATATTGCCCACTATATGCCCGTTAAATTGATATCTATGCTACCAAGGATCATGGAAAAATTCGTCCGCAAACAGTTATTATCATTTTTACTTCCGGCTAGCCTATTAAGCACATACCAGCGCTTCGAGTTTTATCTTGTCAGGTCCTGCTGCTTCCTCATCCTTGATTAGTCTGACGACTGTCCAGATTTCTTCGATCGTTGCTTGAGTGACGTCCATAAGAATATCTGTAGGTACTGCTTCGATATCCGATGAATTCAATGGAGCTTGTTTATTCAACTGTTCCACCCATCTCTTCCTCTGTTCTTCAATTTCAGTGATTGGGTTGCCTTCTTTGCTCTTTACCGGTATTATTATTATATTAATTATAATAATATCCCACCAGTTTCTGCGCTGTGTCATATAGCTGTCTCATATTACCATCTGTTGCAGCTTTTTACCCTGTCTTTGCTAGCTCTTCCACTTATTTCTGCTTCTCAACTCTAATGCTTTTTATCACTTGCTTGTTTGCTTCTGTGTACTCGGTTTGTGTCTTGATATCCTCTGCACTTTTTCGGCAAATGTTAGTTGCTGTCTTCTCTGTTTAATGAATCTTGTCTATGGATTCGATAGAGATCCATTTCTTATGATGATGCTTCATAAGGCCCAGAACATCCTGACACTTGAAGTTAGTGCTTCTTTGTTCCCTCCTCTTCAGTTGTCCTCTATGGTAGTTTCCTCTTCTTCGATGAGTAGATCGTGTAAGGCCTGCAAACTGTTGTTGAGAGCTATAATGAATTCTTTGAGTTTGTCAATATCTCGAATGAAACTGTATCGAACGTTTGTAATGCTGTTTGTCCAGTTGTCCAATGCTTCCTTGGTAACCACCAGGTGGTAATCTGGAGCTATGTCAGCTCCCCTCCTGGTTCTCACATCCTCCCTTGACCTTGTAAATCTTAAGTGCCTGTAGGTAACCCTCGTTCTATTGATATTACAAACAAGACTAGTAGTGAATAAGTCTTTATTTAAGTCGTCGCTCAGTCATAGTGGAGCGTGGGATTACTTGTTCAGACAAACAAAGCTTTTCAACACTCAATGGAAGATAGGAAATATAATGCCTATACAAAATAAGGAAGTGAATGGATACTTGAACTCTATCGTTTTGACATGTACTTAGTTGTTTGAGGCCAACTCTTAACCAGTCAACCTAGGCTGTTACATTAGCTTCCCCTAGAATGGACTTCCTTAGGAACGTCAGTTCGATTAACTGATCTGTCAAAAACATCTAAGTTCTGTTTCCGCAGCCCAAAGGAGAGTTGCCGACTCGCTCAGTGTTTGACTTCCAAACACTGATGACTAACTCCGTCAGTAATCGACGATAGTCCATGAATGTCTCATCATTTGCTAGCTTGCTATCTTATTTTGTAGCATGTAATTTCTTCTACGACTATCGCTGATGGATTGTTACGCGCCCTCTGTATGGTGATCAGAGCTTGGAAGAGAAAAAGTGTGAAGGAATGAAATAACAACATTTGAGGAAGTGCCGCGAGCGGACTAACCAACACCATGTTGATGAGGTGCGATTTTTCTATGCTCTGTCCGGCTATCAGGTGTTTACTCATCTGACTCTTGAGTCACCCTCAAGTAAAAGAAACTGTGGTGAACCAGATGATATGTAAACGCAAAAAGTATCAACTAAGTTAATAAAGATCAATAGAAATATTAATATATATAAGTTAATTATTACAAATACAATAGAAAGCTAGGACTTTACTTAAGTTCACCAAAATGATGCGTGTTCGGCTTTGGTCTGGTACTAAGAAACC